AGGGTAAAGGGTTCTATGGGATGCTGGGGGCTTAGGCCAGGGCCCTTGGAAATAGAATTTCAGAGTCTGGGACCTTGGAGTCTCGGTGAAGCCTACGGACAGCAGGATTCAAGGGGCAGCAGGTCTCAGGGATTATGAGGCTACAGATTTCCCAAGAAATCTGATGCGAAGGTGCTAGGGTCCTGGGGTACCTCGGATCTGTCTCTGGTATAGAGGGACCAAGGTCTTGGCTCAGGGATAATCTCAATGTTGTAGTGGCTTGAGCCATAAATTTGGAAGGTCAATGGCACCTTGGGGTCTTGGATCCAGTGCTCTTAAAGCACCTTGGGGGTCACTCAGGGGTAGGGGCCAAGGGGTCAGAGGTCCGAGTTGTCATGAACATGCCATCTTCTGGGAGCTGGGCTTTAGGGGATTGGGGATCTGGGGGTACAAAGAAGCCAAATATTCCGGGACATTCTGGGGCTTGAAATCCAAGTCGAAGAGGGCTGAGGACTTGGGACCAGTGTCTTGGGGCCTGAGGTGTTGGTGGCCTTTAGTCCTCCATCTGGGGGTACTAGGAACTTCAGAGTCCTACATACGAGATCCAAAGCTCTTGGGAACACTGGGTGGGGGGGAGGGGGTCTATAGAGGTCTTTGATCTCTAGCTCCAGGAGTGTCTTGGAGTCTGACATCTGGATTTCGGGGGGAGGGGAGCCATGCTCTAAGTTGGGTCTCCTGTCATTTTGGTCAGAGAACATCTGTCGGAGCACGTGTAAGGACTCAGGGCATCTTAAGAGGGCTTGGTGTTTCAGGGGTCCTGGGGCTACGAGAACATCTCAGATATGGGTGACCCAGGTTTTAGGTGATCATTCAGGGACCATTCGGGGATGATCTGGGTCCTGTGGTTTCAAGATCTGGGAGTAACTGTATATAGGCAGATTCAGATACTGGCAACTCTTGCCTGTGGGACAGTGATCTGGGGGTTTGCTCAGACCCTGCGTTTGTCAGGGTCCCTGTGCCCCCAGGCCTGCGTGAGGCATGGAGCCTAGGAATGAATGCCTGGAGTCTCCTCAGTTTACGCCAGGGGTGGGGGAGAAGGGTGCAGGATGGGGACGCCAGAACTCAGGACGCCTGAGACCTCTTGGACAGACATCCCAATGAAGCTGTGTATGGGGTCTCTCAGTCCTAGATTTGGGGTCCAGGTTCCAGATCTGGGGTCTCTCAATCCAAACTCAAGGTCCAAGTTCCGGGTGTGCCTAGATTTGGGATCGGAATGGAGTCCGGGGTCCTGAACCGTCAATTTTGGGTCCTTGGTCTGGGGACTGGACCCGCTAGGCCGTCCTCACCGCGCTGCCTCCTCGTGGCGGCCCCCGCAGCCAGCACAGCCGCATCGCGCCGCGACCCAGTGGCAGGCGCGCAGGGGCGCATAGCAGCAGAGGCAGGGCACTGCCAGAGAAAGAGCAGCCAGCGCGGCCCAGCGTGCAGCGGGGCGCGGGTGGCCTGGCTCACAAGCGCACGGGTCCGAGAAGTCCCCTTCGGCGTCCGACAGGCAGTGGTAGAGCAAGCTCTCGGCGCACCACAGGCAGCTAAGGCGGCGCACCAGCAGGCGAC